AAAAAAAAAAAAAAAAAAAAAAGACAGAAAGAAATCCCCAAAAGGCCTCATGTTACCCAGAGTGTTACTGGAGGTGGAGCTAGGATAAGTATATTTCATCAGTCAGGATATGGGTGATACGAGGTGTGAGCTTTGGAAACCAAGACACAAAAGAGTTAATTCAGCCTTACAGATAGATATTCTTCACTAGAGTTGTTATTATTTTTTATATTCTTTATATAGGCTCATTCTGACTATTCTTTTTTTATATTTATTTTTTTAAATTGTGATAAAATAGGCACAACATAAAAGTTTCCATATTAACCATTTTTAAGTGCACAGTTCAGTGACATTAAGTACATTCACATTGTTGCGAACTAGAATTACTTTTTAATTGTTCAGTAATTATTAGTCTAATGTCTGATCCTTCTCTCCCCACAAAATATATGTTCCTTGGGGCCTCCTCAGTGCCTAGACCAGTCTTTGGGACTAGGAGACACTCCTTAAATATTTGTTTAGTGAATGAATATTCCAGAACCACTGAAATTAGTTATTCTGTGGATGGGGCTGGCCAATTTCTGTCTGTAGGGCTGAGTGAACAGAAGCAGAAGCCCTGTCTCGCTCTTTGCTACAGTTCCCCCTGTCGCTTGGTGGTTACAAAAGGAAACACTCACAAGTACTGACGCAGTGACATTTGTTTTCCCAGGAAGAGTGGCTCGAGTTTCCTTTACAAACCATGAAGAGCGACCCTTTGCTGATTCTGCGGAAGCCTTTCTTGCATTCACAGTTCAGCATGGTGCCGATCTTGTAGGTGAGGGCCTTGAATGTGGCGTTTCTGAGGACCGGTGGGTCATCCCCACAGAACTCTGCAAAGAAGAAGAAGTACAGTAGGAGTTCAAGAGGTGCTAGTCAGACATGCACCTATTTAACCATGTGATGATTTAATCACACATTGCTTTTCTTTATTTAAAGGATTTATATATACTCTACTTTTTTTCTAGCAAGAAGCTAAGGCTGTTGCCATTGTTCTTTAGAAACCTTTGTATCAGAGACAGTTCAAAATTGAACTTCAACCAAGTTCCTCTCCAAACTACAATATAGTTCAAACTAACTGAATAGAAATGAATGAGGTTTCATTCTGAATACGCCTCATGCCGAGGAAGTATCAAAAGAGGAGGAGCAAGGGATGTGAGGAAAGGGAGGGAGGAAAGCTGTGCAAATTTAATTGAGGGACAAAATATGTCCATGAGAAATACTTTTCAAGAAATGAGGATTTTCAGACTTTCTGTAATTAATGATTCTGTACCTTTTTTTTTTTTTTTTTTGAGAAATATATGTAAAGTGCTTCACTCAGTGTCTGGCAAGTAGGAAGTGTGTTTCTCACCCACCTGCCCACCTCTGGGTTTATCATATTCCTTCTCATACCATGAAGACCTGACCTCCCTCAGCTGGAAAAGTGGACACTGGTTTCCCGCCGAAGACACTCAAAGAAGTGGCCAAACACCCAACTATTAAGGGAAGAAGGCGCTGGTCTAATCAGAAAAATGATTCCATTGCATATCTTGCAACGAGTGCTCCTGCTTCAAGAGATTCGATTTTAGGAAAAAACACAGGCTGGATAAAGGAAGTGGATAAAAGGAGCACAGGAAACAGGAAACGGTGAGAGAGCAGGGCCCTCTCCCACAGCCAGCCTCTGCATCCACCAGAACAGGCATGGAGGAAAATCCGGGCTGGTTGCTGCACTCATTGCTGGCTGAGGACAGTCTGCCGATTGCCTATTAATCACTCAGGCTGGAGTGAAGCTCCTCTGTGCCCTTACACTCTGCCCAGCATCTTGCCGTCCTGAAGACCACCCCATCCAAGGCTCAGGACACTCCTGGAACCCCCAAGAACAGAAGACTAGGAGAACGTGGACAGTTTTCCCCACCTCTAGCCAAGAGGGGACTAAACGAAAGCCATTTGAATGGTTCAGTGGGCCTGCAGTTGTAGAAGAACATGTAACACAAGTACTCAAATTTTGGTAATTGTAATCACCATCATAATAAGACAGAAAGGTAGCATGGGGGAAAGAAGAGGAAGATGGCTTACTAGCTGTATGGCTTTACCATTTTCATTTATCCAACACTTGACTTCCTTTTCTGTAAAATGGGTATAATAACTATTATTTTGTAATATTTATGTTAATTAATTAATATTTATATTAATTAATATTTTGTAAAATTTATGTGATTTGTCTTAAAGATTACATGAAAGAGCACACTGAGGTAACTTGTAGAGCACCTGGCACACAATAGGCATAGAATAGATGCCAGTTCTGCTCCCTTCCTTTTTCAGTCTGTCCAGAAAAAGAGAATGGTAATTCAGATAGAGACTGGGCTGAAGTTTACCTTAGCCCTTAACTCCTGCCAAAGGTCATCTCTCTCTACAGCCCATATCATCAGTACCATTCACCGGCACTTATCATATGTCAATACCAACCAACGTTTTAAGTATCAGAAGGTAAACCTGTTGCTAAAACAAGATATGCATAATATCAGAAAGGCCAATGAAGGAACAAGGCAAAGATGTTCCCTCTCACCACTGCTTTTCAACATCGTACTGGAAGTCCTAGCTAATGCAGTCAGAAAAGAAAAGGAAATAAAAGGTATACAGATTGAGAAGGAAGAAATAAAATTATCTTTGTTTTCAGATGACATGATTTTCTATGTAGAAAATCTGAAAGGACAGACAAAAAACCCTCCCGGTATTAATAAGTGATTGTAGCAGGATTACATGATAAAAAGGTAATATACAAAAGTCTATTGCTTTGCTGTATACCAGCAATGAACAAGTGGAAATTGAAATTAAAAACACAATACTATTTACATTAGCACCCAGAAAATGAAGTATTTGGTTATAAATTTAACAAAATATGTGCAAGATCTATATGAGGAAAACTATAAAACTTGGATGAAAGAAATCAAAGAGCTAAATAAATGGAGAGATATTCCATGTTTATGGATAGGAAAACTCAATATTGTCAAGATGTCAGTTCTTCACAACTTGATCTATAGATTCAATGCAATCCCAATAATAATGCCAGCAACCTATTTTGTGGATGTCAATGAACCGATTCTAAAGTTTATATGGAGAGGCAAAACACCCAGAACAGCCAACACAACATTGAAGGAGAAGAACAAAGTTGGAGAACTGACACTACCCAACTTCAAGACTTACTATAAAGCTACAGGAATCAAGACATTGTGGCATTGGTGAAAGAACAGACTAATAGATCAAGGGAACAGAATAGAGAGTCCAGAAATAGACCCACAAAAATATAGTCAACTGATCTTTGACAGAGGAGCAAAGGCAATACAATGGAGCAAAGATAGTCTTTTCAACAAATGTTGCTGGAACAACTGGACATTCACATGCAAAAAAAAGGGGGCCAGCCCAGTGGCTTAGTGGTTAAGTTCTGCTTCAGCAGCCCGGGGTTCCCAGGTTCAGATCCCAGGCACAGACCGATGCATCACTCATCAAGCCATGCTACGGCGGTGTCCCACAAACAAAATAGAGGAAGATTGGCAGGATGTTAGCTCAGGTACCATCTTCCTCAAGCAAAACGAGGAAGATTGGCAACAGATGTTAGCTCAGGGCCAGGCTTCCTCACCAAAAGAAAAAAAAAATAGAACTTCAGTGGCCTGTGGGATAATATCAAAAAGTCTAACATATTTAATTGAAGTCTCAAAGCAAGAGGGGAGTAAGAATGGAGCAGAAAAAATATTTGAAGAAATAATGGCCAAAAATGTCTGAAATTTGATGACAAACATTGACTTACAGATCCAAGATGCTCGGTGAACTCCAAGCAGGATAAATATAAAGAAAATCACACCTAAATGCATCTGAGCCACACTGCTGAAAACCAAAGATAATGAGAGAATTCTAAAAGTGGCCGGAGAAAAGGGACACATTACAAGGAATCAATGATGAAGGATGAATGACTTTTCAACAGAAACAATGGAAGCCAGAAAATAATGGTAGAACATATCCACAGTTTTAAAAGAATAAAAACCTGTCAGCCTAGAATTCTACCTAGAGAATTCTACCTCAAAAATGAGGTTGAAATCAATATATTTTCAGATAAATGAAAGCTTAGAGAATTTGTCTAAATTCTCACCAGCCCACCTGCATTATAAAAAATAATGCTAAGGGAAATTCTTCAGGCTATGTGGAAATTACACCAGCTAGAAACAGATCTACAGGGAAGGAGGAGGAACACTGGTACATATTGAGGTGAAAGAAAGGACCACCTTCTTCTTTTAATTTCTTTGAGAGAGAACTGTTCAGAATAAAAATAATAATATTGTATGGTGAGTTTTATTGTGTATGTAAACCTAAAATATATAATATCTATAGTATAAAGCTTGCAGTGAATGGAATTTTTCTATAATAGGGTTCTTATATCATACATGGTATGGTACAATATTAACTCTAAGTAGATTGTGATAAGCATATATTCTGGAAAGCCTAGAGAAACCGCCAAATAATAATACAAGAGTGTAGCTAAAATGACAACAGAAGAAATAAAATAGAGTATTAAAATATATTTCTGGTTAACCAAAATTAAGAGAGAAAAGGAAGAATAGAAGAATAAAAAAATAAATGGGACAACTAGGAAACAGCAAGAAGGTAGACTTGAAGCCAACCATATCAGTAATTAATTACATGAAATCTAAATTAAACAAGATAGAAGCTTTCAGACTGCACAAAACAGGAGGGCTCAACTATATGCTGTCTATTAGAGAATGACTTTAAATACAAAGACAATAATAGGTTGAAAGTAAAAGATATAAAAAGATACGTTATGCAAAGGTATGCATAAGAAAGCTGGTGGTGCTATATTACTATCAGAAAGTAGATTTCAAAATTAGAAACATTATTCACAGATGACTTGATCATTTACATAAAATTAATAAGAAATCTACAAAATAACTACTAGACCTTAGCAAATTTAGCTGTCTCAATACAAAAATCACATGTGGTTAGTTCTGTATACTGGAAGCAACCTTTAGCAAATAAAAAATTTAAAAACAATTCCACTTACAACAGTATCAAAAAACATAAAATACTCGTGGATAAATTTACCAAAAACTTGCAAGACCTCTAAACTGAAAACTCGCAAATGTTACTAACATAAATTAAAGAACTACATAAATGGAGAAATATACAATGGTTATGGATTGGAAGATTCTTAAGCAAGCCTCAATAAATTTAAGAAGATTGAAATCATAACAAGCATCTTTTCAGACCATAAGGCTATGAAACTGAAAATG